AGGAATCGCAGCGCGTAAGGTGCGGACGGGAAGCAAGAGCAGCGCGGAAGGCACGGACGGGAAGCAAGAGCTGCGCGGAAGGCGCGGACGGGAAGAAAGAGCAGCGCGAGGCGCGGGCGCGAAGCACAAGCACCGCGGAAGGCGCTGATGGGAAGCAAGAGCAGCGCGGAGCGCGCGGACGCGAAATCAATAGCAGCGCGGAAGGCTCTGACAAGAAGCAAGAGCAGCGCGGAAGGCAGCGCGGCGGAGCAAGAGCAACGCCGAAGGCGCGGACGGGAAGGAACCGCGTTGCGGAAGGTGCGGAGAAGGCAGCGCGGCGGGAGGGAGGCGCGGACTGGAAGGAATTGCGGAGAGGAAGGCGCGGACGGGAAGGTGCACCGAACTGCCTGTCGTGACCACGGAAACCGCGGTGCAAGAGAGCGGCCTGGTGGCAAACAGCACTCTCCACTCTGGACGTAATGCAAGTATCACATGGACGCATGCCCAAAACCCTCACATCAGGTTTCCCCACTCCTCTACTCACAACCCAATGCGCTGACAGAAGGAATGCAATGTGCGGAAAAGGCTTCACAAGTAATCGTCGCGCATTCAAGCTATCCAACCTCAGATGTACCGAATGCACCACGTATGCCTCGTATGGGAGCTCCTGTCCCCATTGTCAGCGTGCCTTCGATGCACCCCCATTCCCCTCATCTCGTGACTGCCCCTCTCCTTACTCCCAACATGCACCATATTTTCAGTCCCAGTGCACCGTATCGCCCGGACGGGAACGAGCAGACAGAAAGTCGACCACGTTGATCAAAGGACGGGAAGGCGCGTTTGGGAAGGCGCGGAAGATAAGGCTCGGAAGGAAATTGAAAGACGGGAACGTGCAGACGTGAAGGCGCGGACGGGAAGGCACGTCGTTGATACTATGCGCTAACGAGAGGCACCCCCTTTCCACCAAATCAGGAAACATTCCGGTGAGAAAAAAAAAGGGAGAGGTATCAGCAGGGAGGAGCCAAGCTACGCTCAGTGCGATGGTATGAGAGGAGGATGTTTGGAGGCTGACCTCCCCAGGTGGGGAGGATATACTGAAATGAGCTGGGGGGGAGGGGAGACCCCCCTCAGTGAGTGGGTTTGCGGTGAAACATAGGGGACGCAGAACACCCTCAGTGAGTGGGTATGAGGTGAGTGTGTGGGGGGTTGTGCACCCCCCACTGGGCTGGATTTGATAAGAGGGGCAGGGGAGGCTAACCCCCCCTCGATGAGTGGGTATGAGGTGAGTGTGTGGGGGGTTGAACTCCCCCCACTGGGCTGGATTTGGGGAGAGGGGCAGGGGAGGCTAACCCCCCTTTAGTGAGTGGGTATGAGGTGAGTGTGTGGGGGGGTGAACTCCCCCCACTGAGCTGGATTTGAGGAGAGGGGCAGGGGAGGCTAACCCCCCTTCAGTGAGTGGGTATGACATCAGTGTGTGGGGAGTTGTGCTCCCCCCTCTGGGCTGGATTTGATAAGAGGGGCAGGGGAGACTAACCCCCCCTCAGTGTGTGTGTATGAGGTGAGTTTGTGGGTGGTTGTGCTCCCCCCACTGGGCTGGATTTGAGGAGAGGGGCAGGGGAGGCTAACCCCCCTTCAGTGAGTGGAGGTGAGGTGAGTGTGTGGGGGGTTGAACTCCCCCCACTGGGCTGGATTTGAGGAGAGGGGCAGGGGAGGCTAACCCCCCTTCAGTGAGTGGTGGTGAGGTGAGTGTATGGGGGGTTGTGCTCCCCCCTCTGGGCTGGATTTGAGGAGAGGGGCAGGGGAGGCTAACCCCCCTTCAGTGAGCGGAGGTGAGGTGAGTGTGTGGGGGGGTGAACTCCCCCCACTGAGCTGGATTTGAGGAGAGGGGCAGGGGAGGCTAAACCCCCTTCAGTGAGTGGGTATGACATCAGTGTGTGGGGAGTTGTGCTCCCCCCTCTGGGCTGGATTTGATAAGAGGGGCAGGGGAGACTAACCCCCCCTTAGTGTGTGTGTATGAGGTGAGTTTGTGGGTGGTTGTGCTCCCCCCACTGGGCTGGAATTGAGGAGAGGGGCAGGGGAGGCTAACCCCCCTTCAGTGAGTGGAGGTGAGGTGAGTGTGTGGGGGGTTGAACTCCCCCCACTGGGCTGGATTTGAGGAGAGGGGCAGGGGAGGCTAACCCCCCTTCAGTGAGTGGTGGTGAGGTGAGTGTATGGGGGGTTGTGCTCCCCCCTCTGGGCTGGATTTGAGGAGAGGGGCAGGGGAGGCTAACCCCCCTTCAGTGAGCGGAGGTGAGGTGAGTGTGTGGGGGGGTGAACTCCCCCCACTGGGCTGGATTTGAGGAGAGGGGCAGGGGAGGCTAACCCCCCATCAGTGAGTGGGTATGAGGTGAGTGTGTGGGGGGTTGTGCTCCCCCCACTGGGCTGGATTTGAGGAGAGGGGCAGGGGAGGCTAACCCCCCTTCAGTGAGTGGGTATGAGGTGAGTGTGTGGGGGGTTGAACTCCCCCCACTGGGCTGGATTTGAGGAGAGGGGCAGGGGAGGCTAACCCCCCTTCAGTGAGTGGAGGTGAGGTGAGTGTGTGGGGGGTTGAACTCCCCCCACTGGGCTGGATTTGAGGAGAGGGGCAGGGGAGGCTAACCCCCCTTCAGTGAGTGGTGGTGAGGTGAGTGTGTGGGGGGTTGTGCTCCCCCCTCTGGGCTGGATTTGAGGAGAGGGGCAGGGGAGGCTAACCCCCCTTCAGTGAGCGGAGGTGAGGTGAGTGTGTGGGGGGTTGAACTCCCCCCACTGGGCTGGATTTGAGGAGAGGGGCAGGGGAGGCTAACCCCCCATCAGTGAGTGGGTATGAGGTGAGTGTGTGGGGGGTTGTGCTCCCCGCACTGGGCTTGATTTGAGGAGAGGGGCAGGGGAGGCTAACCCCCCTTCAGTCAGTGGTGGTGAGGTGAGTGTGTGGGGGGTTGTGCTCCCCCCACTGGGCTGGATTTGAGGAGAGGGGCAGGGGAGGCTAACCCCCCTTCAGTGAGTGGGTATGAGGTGAGTGTGTGGGGGGTTGTGCTCCCTCCACTGAGCTGGATTTCGGGAGAGGGGCAGGTGAGGCTAACCCCCCTTCAGTGAGTGGGTATGACATCAGTGTGTGGGGAGTTGTGCTCCCCCCTCTGGGCAGGATTTGATAAGAGGGGCAGGGGAGACTAACCCCCCCTCAGTGTGTGTGTATGAGGTGAGTGTGTGGGGGGTTGTGCTCCCCCCACTGGGCTGGATTTGAGGAGAGGGGCAGGGGAGGCTAACCCCCCTTCAGTGAGTGGGTATGAGGTGAGTGTGTGGGGGGTTGAACTCCCCCCACTGGGCTGGATTTGAGGAGAGGGGCAGGGGAGGCTAACCCCCCTTCAGTGAGTGGAGGTGAGGTGAGTGTGTGGAGGGTTGTGCTCCCCCCACTGGGCTGGACTTGAGGAGAGGGGCAGGGGAGGCTAACCCCCCTTCAGTGAGTGGGTATGAGGTGAGTGTGTGGGGGGTTGTGCTCCCCCCACTGAGCTGGATTTCAGGAGAGGGCAGGGGAGGCTAACCCCCCTTCAGTGAGTGGGTATGACATCAGTGTGTGGGGAGTTGTGCTCCCCCCTCTGGGCAGGATTTGATAAGAGGGGCAGGGGAGACTAACCCCCCCTCAGTGTGTGTGTATGAGGTGAGTGTGTGGGTGGTTGTGCTCCCCCCACTGGGCTGGATTTGAGGAGAGGGGCAGGGGAGGCTAACCCCCCTTCAGTGAGTGGGTATGAGGTGAGTGTGTGGGGGTTTAACTCCCCCCACTGGGCTGGACTTGAGGAGAGGGGCAGGGGAGGCTAACCCCCCTTCAGTGAGTGGTGGTGAGGTGAGTGTGTGGGGGGTTGTGCTCCCCCCACTGGGCTGGAGATGATAAGAGGCTGAGGGGGGGCTTACCCCCCCCCCCCCCCCCCATCCACCCGTTTCCCTCAGTGAGCGTGTTCGGAAGGTGAGCATGTGGGGGGGTGTAACTCCTCACACAGGGCTGGAGATGAGAAGATGCTGAGGGGAGGCTTACCCCCCCAACTCCCCACAGTTTGGTCGAGCCACGAAACTTGGTGGGTTTCTTCCGTGGATGCCGCCTTGTCTGTTCGCACAAGGCAGGGTGCGACGGGGAGATGACATTGAGGTCGTGGCGATTTTCTTGGGCATCGATAGGGCTGCTTTGGCACTGTAATGCATGTTCACATGCGATCGAGTTCTGGTCATGCAACAGTAGAGCCATCGAGAAAAAACGAGCCACTGGCGGAGCACGTCCACCCATTCCTCAGGCTAAATTCGTTGCAGCCTTTGCCTTGGGGGGATTAGGATATCAGCATATGTGGGAGTTTTGTCGCACCTTTGGCATCCCTTCCCCAGCAAAAGCCACATTTTATAAGCATCTTAGCGAGGATAAAGGTCTGTGGAAAGCGATTATAAATGAAGCGGATAGGTCGATGCGGGAGGTGCGGACTGAGATGCAGAAACGCGGGACTCCAGTGGAATTTGTCATGGTGGACGGACGATGGTCTCATGTGAGAGAGGGGGAGTGGTGTACAGTATCTTTTATGGATGACGCGACACGAAAAATACTGTACTGCTCAACAACACGTAAACATGTCGATGATCCCTCTTCCGTCAAGCTGGAGAGAATTGCGTTTGACAAGGGACTCGACGAACTAGCGGCGGAGGGTTTTGTGGTGAAGGGGATTGTTTCAGATCAGGGAACCACGTTCAAAGGAGCTGCTGCCGATCATAATTTGAATCATCAAACAGACACGTGGCATGTGAAGAGGACGATGTATAACTTATTTCGGCGGGAATTACAGGACGCGGTACGTGCACCTGTGTCGCTGGACGAGGCCAGTAGGATCGAAGATTTATGGCTTGCTACGGTCGAGGGGCTGAAGCTCTGGCTGAAAAAAAAGGGGCTTCACAAAGAGAGCAAAGCGACGCTGAAGGACAGCTTGGTGAAGTCAGTGCGCAAAGCCATGAGAGCTTTCCCCTACGTGAAGATGACCCAGGACGATGCAAAGTGGAAGCATCCGGATTTGCGGAAAGTGCGACGGGTTGGGGGCGGTGGCGCAGTGGTTGATGTTCCAGTGGAGTACGGAGAGGCGCCGAATGCACAACCTGCTTGTCCAGCACACGATCCGAGGGTGGCGGAGACAAATGGGCATGTGGCCGAGGAGATGGAGTCCGGAGGAGTGCCGGTGGAGGTCCAGTGGGGAGATGTCGTCGAGCTCTGGGAGTATGATCCACACCCCGTTTATGGAACCCGGCCATCATCACTCGCCTCTTCTCTGGTGGTGCGTGCGCACACGGGAGAGGGCGTGCACTCCGATCTCATTGAAGGAAGCACCCCTTGGGTGTCCCGCTCCGACTGTGCAAGTGAGTTTGCGGCTAAGAGTTTGTGTGTTTCAACGTGTGTGATTTTGTTTTCGCACTATTGCATACGTTCGAGCAAGGCGATGAGATAGCCACCTTGACTGATGTTAATTTGCAGGGCTCGTGGGAGGGGCTGGTGATCCTGGCGATGGAGACGATGACAGAAATGGATGTGCAACAGAGACAGCACCACTACCACGGTGGACGAGACGTCGGAAACGAAAACGCGACGGTGATGACCAGACCGCGGACGATGAAGAAGTGACGGTGGCTTCACGCTTTGCATCACACTTTCACTATGTCATGATGAGGTGTGCTCCACGAATGGCTGACGGAAAGACGATGACACATGAAGAAGTGGCGGAAGAGCTGGGGCTTGCAGCCAACCATTGGGCAGGCGATCATTCAGGGTGTGGCCAATCGGGACGCATATCTCGCTGCGTGACGGAGGGGTGGGGCATCGAGACAGCGATTTACGCGAAAGGATCGGAGACTCACAAGGCGGTGCAGGATTGGCTTGCGAAGCGATGCGGGCCTGACAAGGTGAAATCGCTGGTGCATGGTGCGTCTAGTTCCATCAACGAATCCTTTCACTCGATCATTCTCGAGTACGCTCCAAAAAGGATTCGGTGTCAGGGAAGTTTTGAAGCAAGAGTGGCTCTTGCTGTTCTACACTGGAACAACTCGATGGATCGGCTGGTGACCGCGTACCGCACGCGCCAACGACAGGTAACTCGGATTCGACGTGGCAACAAGGATCGGACACTAGGGGCAATGGATTGGTCGTGGCTTGATGGCATAATGGAATCGTGGCTCAAAACATTGAATGGGGAGGGAGACGATGGGACGGATGGGGAGCCAATGAGTCCTACTCGACCTGGTGGTACGGGGTGCACCACCAGCGCCCAAGGGGGATTGGAGCCTGACACGCCTGCACCACTACATGAAAGTAGCGACCCCCCTCGTCAACTAGCGCGACCACGGACGCGACGTTGTCTGAGTAAGTTTATTCCCGTTGTATTCACAAAATGTCCACTCTCCTCTCTCCTCATAACGTCCAGTAACAATTCCCATCGAATTACAAGATAATGACGCCACTTTTTCTGCAATTGTTATGTAGGTGACATCTCCAACTACCCACGCTAAGCGCGGCCGGCCCTCTCTTGGCGTTCGTCGCGGACCGAAGCTACCATTCCGCATACCACGCCAACATACAGAACCGGGGATTAGAACACATTCTATAAAGCCGGTAAATAACCCTAAACCCCTCATCCCACCACCATCCTCCACCACTTCTTTGTAGCGAGGTAATTGCACACACACTAGTGTTCCCCACCGCAATGGTAGAGGCAACTCACTCTTTTAGCCCTAAAAACACATGCAAAATCTCGTCTAAACCCTCACTCACATTCCACTAAACCCCTCCCTTCCTAGCCATTTCTCATCCAACCTCCCTCTATAACTTCGTAACCCTCGTCGGCTCCCTTGTGATCTGTCTACTATCATGCCATTCCCCTTGCCCATGCAGACTTGGAGTGCTTTTGGTGCGGCGTCAGCACAACCACAACTTCAGCTGTAGCAAACAGAGATAACATATACATCTGTCTCCCCTACCCGTGCACAACCACCTGCAGTGTGGGCCGGCGCAGCAGGACAAGAGCCAGCAGCCTCAGCCCTTACACAATCGGTGGCAGTAAAGGCAGTGGGGAGGCGATCAACCTACGATTGAGGTGATTGTTGCACCACTATTGTGCGCCACTCTCATGCATCGTATTTCCCCAGATTTCCTACAACCCATCCTCCTCCGACCCTTATTCTATGCTTATTACAGTCGTAATCTTCGTCTACTCATACATACTGACGACCTTTTCATCAACATCTCCCAAGACATGTGGGTTCACACATTCATTGTGTAATGTTTCCCCATAAGCTTCCCATCTTCCCACCTACCATTACCACATCTTGCCCCTTCATCCCCGTTGCTATCACCATCTCGAACTCACCCTTCCTCTCTGAAACTGCACACACCGAATGCGTCGTTGCCACTCTCCCTCCCCTTCCCTACTGTTCGTCGCGCCCCATTCCCAGCCTGTGGGGGTTTTTCTCAATTGAGACCAAGGAGTGTGGTCGTTAGGCATCGAGACTCACTGCTCCATTTCCCCATCGCTCCTCTCTCCTGTACCCTTACCAACCTGTCACCACCTCTGCCCTGCCCCACCCCCACCCTCCAGCAGGTTTCTCATCAACCTACTCCCAGCCTCTCACCTCCTGCCCCCGTCCCTGCTGCCATCGCTTCAAGAACCCGCCCTATCACATTTTTACTTCCCTTTGACAAATGCCCAAAGTATCCGGGTGCCAACATATCCATTAGTGGGTCCAGATTATGTTGACTAAATTGCAATCCTGAAATGCACGTTTTTTTTTTCTTCTTCTTCTTCCTCTTCTTTTCTCCATTGTATGCTAGTTACGAGGTAGCCAATACGACATGCAAATATCGGGGTTGAAATGTTAGAAATACGGTACGGTACAACTTCCCTTTACTTCAGGCTCTCCCTGAATGTATCCTACGACAAGCTAAATCTGCCTTGCCACATGCAAGTGCGTTGGATAATGGCAAGTATTCTAACTCTACCTTGCACAAGCAGAAGAACCCACACTAACTAAGGCAGGATTATAACAACACCAACAACTATCCCTAAAACACATACGGTACAGTACTGCGTGTTTCTGTGGCATCATTGGCCAATACTATAACAACAATACATCCTATACCGGGGATGGACAATCCTGACAATGTCGCTGTATAAAAACATGTTGCTAATCCGGTGCACATTATCACTTTTCTTCTCACCGGACGGATGGAGAGTAGTGGGGATGCAGATGCATGTCGTGGGCCGTAAGTCCTGGGTGTGATGTGGGAATAACCCTGCAAGAAGGGGGGGGAGTGGGTATAGGCCAAGAAGAGCATGCAAAGAAAGAAGGGAATGGGAGGAAAACAGCAACGAGACATGCAACAGACCAGTAGAGAGGGAACCCAGGTGAATTGTGGACGGGCTAGGGGAGGCAGGGGCGGACATGGAAGAGTGATTTGCTCACAGTCAGAGCAAATGACAGAAACAGCAAAGGACAGGGTGAGCTAGATGACGGGGGGAGCTAGATGACAGGGTGAGCTAGATGACAGGGTGAGCTGAATGACAGGGAGAGCTAGATGACAGAGTGAGCTAGATGACAGGGTGAGCTGAATGACAGGGTGAGCTAGATGACAGGGTGAGCTAGATGACAGGGTGAGCTAGATGACAGGGTGAGCTAGATGACAGGGTGAGCTAGATGACAGGGTGAGCTAGATGACAGGGTGAGCTAGATGACAGGATGAGCTAGATGACAGGATGAGAGAGCAGCAGCAGCTGTCACAGCCGCAACACGTTGCTCACCATCATCCTGCTGGTAATCGTCGCCCCTCCATTAGGGCCTCGTCCTCCTGTAGCACAGCAGACGGGAGGAAGGGCATGCGTGGGTTCAATTATTGGGGTGTTAGCAAACGTGCATTCATTCCCTGCTTGCCATCATCCTCCAAGTAGTCGTCACTGTTGCCCTCCAGCATCGCTTTATCCTACTGCAGTGCACAGCAGATGGGAGCAAGGTCAGCGGGTTTATTTAGTGGATGAGGGAGCGAGGGAGCTAAGGCAGCCATCACCTGCACTCTCCTCAATGTCACTTTCCAGGTAGTCTTCTAAATGCCTGGGTGAGAGGGCATTGTTGCGCTCCAGAAGACAGTGGGAGAAAAGGCAGCGGGGGGCGGGGTTGGCGAAGGCAGGGCGGTAGAGAATGTTTATCCAACATGTGGGTTGCCCTACAGTCACGTCCTTCTGGAAAAAGGGACAAGAGCGGGGGGGGATGAGTAGAGGTGGGAGTGTGAAAGTAGCGGCAGACATGACGTGCCCACGCTGCTGGTGCTGAAGAGTGCGGAGGGGGCAAATGGCTGCACAATCCCATTCGCATTACCATTCCCATGTCATTCCGGCTCGTTAAAGTGATATTCGTTCCAAGCACACATACAGACAGCTGACCTGCAGGGTGGTAGAATAGCCAGCTAGGGCCAGGAAGCAGGCATTGCGAGAGAAGGGGGGGGGGGGGGGGGGGTGAAGGGCAAACCTTACCTTACCCATTAATATACTTGTTACGATAATACTTCTTACAGGCACATGAACCCGAAGAGTAGTGGAGTAGCCAGCTAGCGCCAGGCGGCAGGCAGCAAGAATGACCTCCCTGGCCTCAAGCTCGTGCTTGAGAGTGTAGGAGGGGGTGAAGGGCAGTACGCACAACCATACTCGTCATAATCAAACTCAATATGAGAAAGCCAGGAGGCCTTACCTGTGGTGTAGTGTAGTACCCAGCTAAAGCCTTGACCTTAGACGCACCATCCTACTCCCTCACCTACATGGAGACACTCCACCCCCTTCATCTACCATTGCCTTTCAGCCCCCCGATACTGGACCCAACATTCCCATTCTGATTCCACACCCCCTTCCTCACCCCATCATCCCCCCCTTCCCCCCCGCCCCCCCTTCCCCTCACATTTCCTCCCATCATGCTCTCCCCCAGACGAACGAGCAGGGTGCCGACCCACGTGTCAGTGAGGCACTGCTCCTGCCAGCTGGCATCTGTCCCGCCCGGCTGGCCATGCTCCTGGAGGGCGGCGGAGAGGGCGCGGGCGCGCCATGGGTTCCCCATGGCAGCTGGGCACACACACACTTGAATTTCCAGTGGGAAGAGGGGGGTGGGGAGGGGAGAGGGGGTAGGTGGAAGGGGGAAGGGGCGGCAAAGGAGGGAAAGGAGGAGCGGGGTCAAGAGGGAAAGGAGGAGAGGGGCTCAGAGGAATCCTCTGAGGGAGGCAGAGCGGGGAGTGGCAATGGAAGCAGCGAGGGATGTGGCTCCTGGGGGCAGCATCTGGCGAGGGGAGTTTGGAAAGAGCTGAGGTGAGGGTGAGGGGGGCAGTGGGGGACGGGGGCCCAGGGTGGGGATGTAGCCCTACCCCTAGGATGATAGGATTGTGGAAGCTGGGTGGAAGTAGTCACCAACCCTATCGCAAGGTGCACTATTGATGCCGCTTCACGCCGTGTGAGGGTGCACTGGGGTACGTCGGGTTGGGGCTGAGAAGGAAAGGAGGAGAGTAGTAGGGAAGGGCAGGAGGAGATGGGCTGAGACGGAAAGGAGGAGAGGGGCTAGGAGGGATTGGACAACATGGGTAAAGGGGGGAGTGGCGAGAGAAGCAGTGGGGGAATAGAGGAGAGAAGCGTGGTGGGTCAGAGAGGAGAGGAGGGAGAGTGAAGCATGGAGAACAGCATGGAGGAAACTGAGCAACAGATATGATAAAGAGGACTTTTGTATGGGACGTGTGTGAGCAATGGGAGTGAGTGGGGGGCAGGGAAATGAGAGAGCAATGCAGGGTGTCAAGGAAGGTCATGGTTAAATAGGTAAGGGAGGAGAGGGCGAGAGATCAACACAATGGTGACTCGGGAATGTAGATCAAGCGGGAAATGACGGGAACGCACGGATGGGAAATGGAGGGGCGGGTCGCGAGCCTAAGGGGGAGGGAGGGCCGAAAAGGGGGAAACAGAGGCACCGAGTCAGGGGGAGGGGGCAAGGGGCAAACGGACGAAGGGCAAGTGAGGGAGAGACGGGAATGGGATGGATGGGAGTAGGATAGAGGCAGCGCGGCGGTCAGGGGAAGGCAGCGCGGCGGTCAGGGGCAGCAGCGCGTAGGGCGGGGGGAGCAGCGCGTAGGGAGGGGGGAGCAGCGCGTAGGGGGGAGCAGCGCGTAGGGAGGGGGGAGCAGCGCGTAGGGAGGGGGAGCAGCGCGTAGGGAGGGGGGAGCAGCGCGTAGGGGGGAGCAGCGCGTAGGGAGGGGGGAGCAGCGCGTAGGGAGGGGGAAGCTACGCGTAGGGAGGGGGAGCAGCGCGAAGGGAGGGGGGAGCAGCGCGTAGGGGGGAGCAGCGCGTAGGGAGGGGGGAGCAGCGCGTAGGGAGGGGGAAGCTACGCGTAGGGAGGGGGAGCAGCGCGTAGGGAGGGGGGAGCAGCGCGTAGGGAGAGGAGAGCAGTGCGTAGGGGGGAGCAGCGCGTAGGGAGGGGGGAGCAGCGCGTAGGGAGGTGGGAGCAGCGCGTAGGGAGGTGGGAGCAGCGCGTAGGGAGGGGGAAGAGCGACGGGAGATGAGAGCGCGGCGGGAGTGAGAGAGCGACGGGAGTGAGAGCGCAAAGAAGTGAGAGCGCGACGGTAGAATGAGCGCGACGGGAGCGAGAGAGCGACGAGAGTGAGAGCGCGACGGGAGTGAGAGAGCGACGGGAGTGAGAGAGCGACGGGAGTGAGAGAGCGGTGGGAGTGAGAGCGCGACCTGAGCGAGAGCGCGACGGGAGTGAGAGCGCGACGGGTGTGAGAGAGCGACGGGAGTGCGAACGCGACAAGAATGAGAGTGTGACGGGAGAGAGAGAACGACGGGAGTGACGACGACGGGAGTGAGGGCGGGCCTTGTGTGATTGCGGACCGGCATTGAGTGCGGGCTAGGATACCCTTCAGCGGCGACGAGTAAGTCTCACGGTGGCGAAGCTCTGAGGGTCATGCCTTCCAAGCAATGTTCGAGATCGGATTTGTTATGCGCGAAAAAGTCGCCGGTTTTGTTCCATCCTTATCATACGGCAAGGAGATGGGCGCCACTATGCTGACTATTGCCGAAAATATGGGCTATGGAGCCCACTATGCTACGAGTCTAGAAAGGTATTGTCGAGTTTCAAGTTCTGAAAGTGTGAACAGTGATACTTGCCTTTGTTTGTTTCTGGCGAGGCTCGTCCGTGTTTTTGCTGTGGGGCATTTGGCCAATCACCTTCTGGCCCACCAACTCCGGGTTTTACCTACCGCATGCAGATCTTGCTAGTGCAGCTTTGCAAACGCATGCAATAGACGGTTCAGGGGAAAATGGTCGGCTTGCCGGCAAAAACATGCGGTTACCCGTGTTTAGGGTTGAGGCTCCCTCAATCGCATCGTATTTTTTTCTGACCGCGGGCAGATAACAGTCCGTCAGCCTCTTTCCCCTGCGGCCGTCTATTGTATGCGTCTGCATAATTGCGCTGGCATAAGTTGAATGCCGTTAAAAATGGCCCCACCAACTCCCTTCCCGGTGGGTAGCGAGAGATCAGCTTTCTGAAACTGGTTACCCTGTTCTTGACGAAAACAAGTTCAAGAATCTTGAAGTTGAACGTTTGCCATTCTAAACTCGGGCTTTAACGCCCGTTTTGGGGTATTTTTTTCGGTGGAATACTAACACCTAAAACAATCTGACGTCTAACGAGGAAGACAACCACATCCAGAGCCTCAGTTTGCAAGTTTTGCACTCAGAAAGGGTGCCAGGGCAGTGAGAAACAACAAAAAACTGTTTGTAGTTTTGTCGATTAATAAACTCTTCGACGATGCTGCAGGCTCTTTTTACGGCCAACTTCATTGATACTCAAATTATGCCTGACGCGGTTTGCAAAAGTACTCAACCGACAATTTCGCACTATAGTCAGTACAAATATTTCGCACTATAGTCAGTGAGCAGTCACGACCTGAAAAAAAAAAAAAAAAAAACAAATACTTTATATGTCTATTATAAGCACAATACTGAAACAAAGTCGCCACCAGCAGGTCCGCACATACCCAACCAAAAAGGGAACATACTAAAACGCTTGGATAACCAAGAAATAATGTTAACCGTAAATACGGGATGTCGTATAGTGTTTATGTTTTTATGCTACAACAAACAACACCGCCCAGCGGAGCTTGCTAGCCGAAAGGCATTTAAAAACAGCCCTCCTACTGAAAGGCATCCAGTAAGGATGGCATCAACCCTTAAATCCTTGTCGCATGATGTCGTCGACCCTATTCCATTAAGTTATTCCTAGTCTGCATTATTTTCCAATGGGTTTTTATATTTACGAAATTCGCGCGTTATACAATTTTCCTTTGTAAAGGGTTGAGTATTCAATGCTTTTTTGTCTATTGTAAGGTATCACCTCCACACAATATTGTCTAATTAAGTTCGGTTATCGCGTTCTGTTTCTATCACATTTTGGAGGTGTTTTAGCCTGAAAAGTGTGATTGAAAAGCGAGAACCAATCAGCGATGAGAAATCGAAGTTGAGTACGCTTGCAAAGCGCGTCAGGCATAATTTGAGTATCAATGAAGTTGGCCGCTCTTTTTACTTTCGCGGAAAACGTGGTCCGCAGAACCTGTGCGGCAGAGGCGAATGGCCTCTGCGCCAACAGAACAAGGCCCTCAATTTGTAACTTGACCGAGGCGCTTGGGCAGGTGAGAAACACAAGACTTGCTTCGCGGAACCAGCCGTTTGGCGAACAGATACTCCTTCGCAAAAAGCAAGTGGTAACTGATGCGAAACGCAAGGCTGCGTTCTGGAAGGCAACGCATATGTCGAACTCGAAATTCGAGTGCTGTGAGTCGCGACCCATGATAGAACTCACGATCGATCTTGTCTGCGTCTTGTCTTGTCCGCTGAGATATATTCGACCGACTGTCAATTGATCTCACACACACGGTAGTCAACTCGACCTTTCAGCGTTTTTGCTTGCTGACGTCATGCTGGTTACCAACATGTTCGATTGCTAAGCACATTTGATTGAGCACTTGTAACGCGTCCTTAGCAGGCAATGCCTTGGCCACGCCAAGGTTCCTTAGTCTGTGTCCTCACATCCCCTCTTCCCTTTCCTTCAAAGTAGTGCCATCTACAGATCCAGCCAGAGCACTACGCATTGCTAGATCCGTAAGTGAAATGGAAAAGGAGATGTGAGATCCGCTAGCCTAGACGTCACCAAAAAGCTTATAGATCAGACACCTAGAATGGAGCCTCTGGGTCCACCCAAGCCGTCAAGGCCATGTGATCTGGCTAGCCGGCGCGTGGAGCAACCTGGTGATGAGCACCCGCGTAACGAGCATCCCCGTTACGAACATCCGCATTACGAACGTCCAGGTCCATCGACCATCAGCAGCAGCAGCATGCGAAAATCATCAGCGACAATGAACAGTCTGCCTGACGAGATTTTGACTAGGATTCTCTTCCTCGCAGCAACCACCGACAAGGACTCTCAATACGCTGCTGTCGCGAGCGACGCGGAGCCCAGCGTGGAGTCCGATGTCAGCCCGTGCCATGGCTTGGGGATGGTGTCGAAGCGATGGGCCTCGCTGCTGCCCATCGTGCGCATCAGCGCACCTGCCGACTCTCCACCTCATCGGAAGGACTATTACCGTCACGACGACTCGCCGCTGCCCGTCCCCACGCTCTCCGCGCCCGCGCTCCTCCTCATGCTGTCCCGCGCGCCGAGCGTGACGTCCCTCACGCTGGGTGACGGCGCCGTTGATTTCTACGATGATAGCTTCCTTACCTCGCTGCTCGCCGCCTGACCCAAGCTCACCTGCGTGACCCTCGGCGAGCCTCGTTTCACCGCCGCACCGCCGCCCTTCACCATCAGCCTCGCGTCGCTCGACTCATTCTTCCGCCGCTGCGCCGCAGTTACAGGAGCTCGCGCTGCTGCTTCCTATCGAGGCCCCGAAGCTTCCCGATTCCATGTCGTCGCTGTCGTCGCTGCGCGTGCTTCGCCTCCGCTCCGTCAAGATTCAACAGCTCCCGGACGGACTGTGCCGTCTGCCCGCGCTCCAGGAGCTGCAGTTGAGCTGTTCGATGCTGTGGACTGTGCCCGAGGACTTCGGGCAGCTGAAAGCTTTGACGCGCCTCTCCATCGTCGACAGCCAGAACAGCGCGCGCAGCCTGCCCGATTCTCTGGGAGACCTCTCGTCGCTCACCTCGCTCTGCATAGCCTTCTCGTGCGTGGGACTCCCGGATAGCATCACCGCGCTGCAGCATCTGCGGCGCCTGCAGCTACGACGATACGACAGCCTCGACTGGCCAGACGGGTGCGAAGCGTGGACGAGGCTGGAAGAGCTTTCGCTCGAGAAATGCAGCGTGCGCTCTTTCCCGCCTGCGTGGTTGAAAACCCTAAAGCGCCTCACTGTTCGCTCCTGCCAGAATATGAAGGCTCTCCCCTTAGACGACTTCATTCGGGACTCACCGCTGCGCCACTTGACTTTCGAGGGACGCCTGTACCCTTTACCGCTGCACCCTCTCAGTCGACTAACCTCCCTCCAACGACTCAAGGTCTCAATTGAAGAACTTTTCCGTCGCTTCACTACCGGGGATGAGGCATCATTTCCCGTGGGCTTGTTCGCGTTGCCGTCGCTGGCGCACGTGAGTGTCGACAGGGTGGCGTGGGTGGAGCAAGGCGACGCGCCCAAAGGGTCTCTGCTGGCCTATCTGCCTCTCGCCCTCGCTTCGGCAACCGCCGCCTCTGCCGATTCCTCGGCCGCCGCCGCTGCTGCAGCTGCCGCTCCTCCTGCTGCTGCTGCTCTTGCTGCTGAAGCTGCTAGTGTTGGTGCTGCTTTTGCCGCTGCTGCTGCCGCTGCCGCTGCAGCCGCCACCGCCGCCGCCACTGCTGCTGCTCAAGCCGGGTGCTCGCCTCTCGGCCCCTCGTTGCAGCACCTAGAATTGAGCCTAGGTGAAAAGTGCCCGCAAGTGCCCGCCCACCTCTGGTCCCTCTGCTCGCTCACGCACCTCTCCATCTACGATCTCAAGCCTAGAAGTTTCGTGCTGGCCGCCTTTGAACGCCTCATCAACCTTCGCTCTCTCTCCCTCTCCGGCTGCTTCCTCCGCCTCCCAGATTCCCTCTCTCTTCTCGCCCCATCCCTCCAGTCCTTATCACTGGAGTACGACTCTTCTTCCACCGCCAGCAGCAGCAGCAGAAGAACCAGCAACATCAGCAGCAGCGGCAGTGGCAGCGACAGCAGCGGCGGCGGCGAAAGCAGGAGGTCAGAAGATAAGCGCCTGACACTGCCCTCGTTCATCTCGCACCTCACCTCCCTCACCGAGCTCCACCTCACAGACGTTTTCATCCCCTCTCCGCTTCCTCACCTCGCCCGCCTCCTCTCGCTCCGCAAGTTACGCATTACGAAGAGCGCCCACCTTCCACACTCTGAGCCCTTCATTCCTGAGAACATCGGAGAGCTGGCAGCGCTGCAGTCGCTCGAGCTGAAAGGGTGTGTTTCGGAGAAGGAAGCTTCGCCATATTCGAGCATGTTATCCAGGATAAATAGAGTAGAAGAGAGGCCGCCTGAAAGGTGCAATCACTTGGATCATCTACCTCGAGAGTTGGGATCCCTTGGGGCTCTAACGAGGGTGACTATTGAGGGATCGTTTTCCTCTCTTCCAGACACTCTCGGTGGGCTGTCCTCCCTGCAAGAAGCATTTCTGAAGTCTCCAGTCCTTGCCAGCCTGCCTCTCTCCTTCTGCCTCCTCTCTCGCCTCCACACTCTCACCATCACTGGCAGCGACTGTCTTGGCACCCTGCCCTCTGATTTCGGCTCCCTATGTGCCCTCCAACGCCTCTCCATCCACTCTTGCTTTCGCTTGCACAGCCTTCCCGACTCGTTCTCCTCGCTCGCCTCCCTCGTCCACCTCGCCATCACAAATTGCCCCAAGCTTTCCACCCTCCCTGATGGCTTTGGCTCGCTGACCCGACTGGCCCGGCTGATAATCACCTACTGTGACTCCTTCTCTCACCTGCCCGCCTGCTTCCCCTGCCTGCCGTCCCTCCGTGTGGCCAGCTTCAGCTGCTGCCCGCGCCTGCACTCCCTGCCTGCGAACATGGGCCTGCTGCCGCGCCTGGAGGTGCTGCATGTGCGCGGATGTGCGTCGCTCACGAACCTGCCGCAGTCGCTCAGGCAGGCCAGGGCGCTCAGGCATGTCGATGTGACTGACAGTGGGGTACCTGAGGAGGGGGTTCAGGAGGATTGGTGTGGAGCAGTAGTATATATTGAATGGGGGCGCCCTGGCAGACTCCCTACAGTATGGGGATTGTTTAGGTAAAATGTGTCACATTTCAATAGCTCGATACCTATTCCTTATCGTCAAGGGTATTTAATAATGCAGTCTGTAGCAGGGGTAATGTACACTTTTGTTCATCCAAGGATTACCGTAGGGTTAGCAGAGAAGCGCGGAACGATATCCCAACCTGAAAGCATTTTGTCATCCTACATCACAACAGATCCGATCCTACGAAAGCAAGTACCATTCCCCTCTTGTGCTTCATGCTGCAGTCACTCACGCCCGGTGGCACGTAGTGTCACGGTACATTGATATTTGTTCTAATCTGTAGTGCAGGGCTTACTTCTCATGAACTCTGCAAGTTCATTCATAACAATTGCGTAACAGGCTTTGGAACTTCTGCGAAGTCTTTTGCTACACGACCATCGTCGATCGATTTCAAAACCAATCTGTTTCGCGCACCAATCGAGACCACTGCCCCAACCAACCCACATCTGAAACCGTGAATGTCGGCTACAATGGATGTGATGTCATCACGTAGAATGGCGTACTCACCCTCACCTCGTCACCGACCGTGCGCTCTACTCAGGGACTTGGTGATGTCCGCTAGAATGACTGCCTTGAAAGCTCTTAGAATTTGTCGTAGCCCCAGCTCACTATGCACTCGTAAGCCAACAACGTTCAACTTCACAACTCTTGGCATTCCAGACTGCGGCTTTCAGGAACGACAGGTATCGCTATTTATCTTGTCCAACTCTCCATATCTCGTCCGCTGTGAGCACGCCCCACCATGTCGTCGCACCTATTCGACGCCGTCGTCGCCCACGGCGATTCCGCCGCGCATCTTGCCGACCCCGAATCCGCCCTAGTCTCCCATTCCCGGGCCTCGCCGCGTGCCGTGCCGCCGCCGCCGCGCGAGGCGCACCACCTGCTCGTCTTGGAGGGCTCGCGCTTCACGTGCGTCAGCGCGCCGCTGTCGCTCTCGCTGCGCCTCTGCTTCCAAGACCACAGCGCCACAGGTACCGCCGCCGCTGACTGCTCGGACTACCAGCAGCGCGCCGAGCAGCGCGCGCAACTGCTCCCGCCGCCCGTCGAAAGCGGTTCACCTGTTATCTCTCCCGAAAGGTTGGGAAGCGGAGCATTTCGCGAGTCCACGGGGATAGGCCTTGGGGCAAGGCAGGAGGCGGAGGAGGCGGAGGAAGCGGAAGAGGCGGGGGTTGCGTGCTGCGAGCGGGAGGGGATGCACGTGCACGCGCACGTGCATCACGGCGACGCGATCACCGAAGACGTGCTGCTCGAACCGGTGCGCGCTCGTCGCTGCTGCCTTGCCTTCTCATTCCCCCCTTTTGTTTCCCATTTCCCCCTTGTGTGCTTCCCATTCACCCATTACGCTTGCCATTGCTGCTAGCCTTGTCAACATAGTCAACCACACTGCCCGTCCCTTCGCCTTCCCCCGTTATTGTCACACTCCACAGTGCCTGCACGAAGGTGTGCTGTCGCCCTGCCTGCGCCCCTCCCCCGCCCCCTCGCCGCGCCTCCCCTCTCTCTGCGCCGCATTTGGCGGGGAGCGGGAGAATGACGCGGTGAGGAGAGAGGGGGAAGGTGTGAGAGGGGCAGTGGCGGAGGGGAATGGCGGCGCAGAGGAGCAGGGCGAGGGGGAGTGGCACGTGCATGCGGAGGGGTGTGGGCATGGGCGCATAGCGCATGGCGACCACGTGGACTACCTCATGCCTCTCCTCGATGGCTCCTTCCTGCTGCACCACGCCCACCACCATGCGCCGCACACGCATCACTCACACCCCCATGTGCATGCAATGCGTGATGCGCACGGGCATGGTGATGTGCACGGGCATGGTGATGCGCGCCCTGTGCATGAGGAAGCACATGATGACCATTCTGGCGATCCTGCTCCCCTCACCACCCATGCCCATGCCCACGCCCATGCCCATGCCCATGCCCATGCCCATGCCCTTCCTGGCTCAAACTCTCATCCCCATGCGACAGCAAGCGCACATGGCAATGGCATGACAGCAGGGCCATCCGTGAGCCATCCCGTGCAGCCCCACTCCCATGGACCCACACCGCCTTGCACCTCCTCGCCTGCCTGTGGAAGCAGCTGCGGCGCTGCCAGCCACAGTGCCGCCCAGCATGGTGCGCACTCTGCCTGCACCACTGCCCCGCACGCTCACCAGGCTGAGGCGCACAGGCATGACGCGACGGCAAGCACATGCGGTTACCACGTGCACGAGCACGGGCGGCTGGTGAGGGTGGGCGCTGCCACGGGGCTGCTGAGGCGGCGCGCGGGCAAGCAGCGTGTGGAGGTGTTTGACTTTGTGCGGCCCGTGCGCCATGCACATGCTGCTCCCAGCCACACGCCCACGTGTGCCCGCAGCTGTGGCAGTGCGGTAGCAGGTTGCTGCGCTGAAGTCAACTGCGCCTACACTCGTTTGCCGTCCTGTGATGAATGTGATCATATGGAGGGCAACGAAGGAGCAGCACAGAAGGGAGTGAAGCGGCGTGATGGTGGAGCGGAGGAGCAGGCAGGTCCTTGTGGGGGAGGTGCATCTGCTGCAGGTGCAGCGAGTCTGCTTGACGCTGACGTGGCACAGGTGGTGAAGAGTGAGAGGGTGCAGGCAAAAGCAGCTTCTCTGATTGGCTGTCATGCGCCGATGCCACTGATGGCATGTGAAGAGCATACACGTGGCAGTGGAACGTGCACAGGCAGTACGCTTCATGGCAAAGACGATCATGGCTGCAGCAGCAGCAGCGGCGGCCCTCACCATCACAGCAGGCACAGTCACACTCACGCTCGCATCAACAGCCATGCTGCTGCAGCTGCTAGCAGCGCTGATAATGTTGCAAGGAGCGAGGCAGCAGCAGGAGGGGCGATGGGGTGTGGCCGGCAGTGCTGCTGCACTCATGCAGAGGGCACTGGGAGTGGTGCAGGCGAGATGGTGGTGCTGGTGGGTGGGGGGGACAGGGAGGAAGACGGAGAGGAGCCAGAGGTAGTAGGCAAGTGGATGGTTGGAAAGCCGTCTCGATTATTCTGGTGGTCAACCACTGTGTGCAAGCGAGCAGTCACTGCCGTGGCCAGCGCAGCAGCCAAGGCCTTCCAAGGTCCCCAGCTGCATAACAATGCTGCCGCCCCTGCTACTGCCACCCCTGCTGCTGGGGGTCCAGTGGTGACGTCACGGGTGGACGTGTTGGGGCTGTGCTGTGTGGCGGAGGTGGCGGTGGTGCAGCGAGTGGTGGAGGCGCTGCCTGGCGTGCTGCACGTCGCCGTCTCTGTACCCACCAAGACTGCCCTCGTGCGCCATAACGCTTCCATCACCCCTGTTGCTGATATTGGTGAGTGAGTGGGCGCTGTGTGCGCAGGGAAGGGTGCCTGAGACTGAGTGCTAGGCGTGAGGTAGTGATCCAGGGCGGGCCGACCATGCATGCACTCTCTCTCTAACACACTCCGCCCATGCCACTTCCCTCCTCTAACACACTCCGCCCATGCCACTTCCCTCCTCTAACACACTCCGCCCATGCCACTTCCCTCCTCTATCCCCTTGCCTCCTCTCCACCCCTCCCATATGCCACCAGTGGCGGCGCTGAACGAGGCGCATCTGAATGCGAGCGAGCAGCAGAGGGGGCGAGTGCGGGTGGCGTCGTCGGTGCCGTCGCCCTTCACACTGCTGTCGGGCGCGCTGCTGCTCGTCTCCCTCTTCCACTACCTCCTCCCGCCCCTCCAGTTCGTTGCCCTCGCCTCCATCGCTGCTGGCCTGCCACCCATTCTGCTCAGCAGCCTGGCGGCGCTGAGGAGGTTCATACTCGATATAAACACACTCATGGTCATTGCAGGTGCGCTCTGGTAATAGACAGCCATCAGACTGTGCTTGTATTCCTGGCTTGGAGGTCCACAGGGGTCAGTGGAGGCACGGGGGATTTGAGTGGCGCCTCTCTGTGGTGCATCTGTTCCTAGCGAGTCTCGTGCCGACCGTGTGCTTGTGCCTACTGAGTGTCTGTGCCTAGAAATGAGTCTGTCCCTCCCTGCGTAGCGTCCCTCCCTCGCCTGAAGCCTGTCCATGCATAGAGGTGTGTGCGTTTGAGTCCCGTATGTGAGACCGCACACATGCCATGTCGCCCACACTCATTCTGCTTCATCTCCCCCCTTCCCCAATGGGCCTCGCATGGGCTGCCAGTGGCGGGCGCCATAGCCATTGGCGAGTATGTGGAGGGCGCCTCTGTCGTCTTCCTCTTCTCCCTCGCCCACTTCCTTGAAGCACGCTCCACTGATAAGGTGGGTGTAGCTACCAGACAGAATATCAGCAGATAGGTTCGTGGGGGCAGCCTCTCTCTTCCTTTCTCAATCCATATTTCCCGCGTCTGTGTGGCCCACTTGCCCATGTGTCCCCTTGGCTTAATGTGTCCCTCGTGGCCCCATGCAGCCTCGTCGCACATCGGCCGCATGTCAGCAATCCCCTCTTTCGCGTCCGCATTGTCTCCCCTGCCCGTCCCCCCTCTTGCCACCCCCGCAGGCGCGGGTGGCCATCCAGGCGCTCATCGACCGCGCTCCACAGACAGCTGAGCTCGCTGCCACGGGCCAGCAGGTAAGGAGGGGGAAGGGGGAGTTGGGGGGGGGGAGAGAGGGGAGACGCAAGGTGGACGAGGGGGAAGGGTCGAGGCTCTGGGGGGGTCGAGATGGGTAGGGTGGAATGCCTTGAAGAAAGTGTTGGCGAGTGGGATGATAAGGCTGGTAGCAAACAAGAGTGCTGTGCTGTACGGTGGTGCATGGCAGAGCAGCACCACCCACACACCACTCGAGTGCCCCCTCCATGCGCCTCCAATGCAATCGCATAACTGCAGTGGAGAGCAGAGCAGGCAGCGCCCCATGCAGCCACCTTCACGAGCCACGCCTCTCCAACCCCACCCACTGTGTGCCGCTCGCAGGTGCCGGTGGAGGACGTGGCGGTGGGCACGCTGCTCGCCGTGCGCCCAGGCGCACTGGTGCCGGTGGATGGAGTGGTGCAGAGCGGTGCGAGCAGTGTGGATGAGAGCAGCCTGACAGGCGAGTCTCTGCCAGTGTTCAAGGACGTGGGCGCGCCTGTGTGGGCCGGCACCATCAACACCACTGGTGAGGCCGGCACCATCAACACCACTGGTGAGGCCGGCACCATCAACACCACTGGTGAGGGGGAGTGAGAGGCACAACAAGGGGGTTATTGCCCTCAGGCCAAGGGTAGAGAAAGAGGGTTCCTCTGCTCCTTGCCCGCCCTGATGTCATAGTCTCAATCCCCTCTCTCTCCCCCCTGCCCTTTGCCAGCCTTCCCCTGAGATTCCCAACCCCTCTGCCCTGGCTTGCTCTTTCTCTCTCTCATTACACCATGCAAGCCGTGTCTCTTGCTGCCAGCCTGCACCCTGGATGCACTCTCTTCTTTGCCCATGTCAGTAGCCCCTCCTTGCCCCTCTCGCCCCCCTTTCCTCCTTTCCCAACCCTCGTCCCGCCAGGCTTCTTCACGATGAGGGCGACAGCGCTGGCATGCGAGTCAGCGGTGGCGCGCATGGCGGCGCTGATCGAGGCAGCGCACGCCAACCGCTCGCCCTCGCAGCGCCTCGTGGAGGCGTTTGCACGCGTGTACACGCCCTCCGTCGTGCTGTGCGCGCTGCTGCTGGCCCTCGTGCCGCTCGCCGTGCCCTGCGCCGACCACCTCTACTTCTTCCGCCTCGCGCTGCTGCTGCTCGTCGTCGCCTGCCCCTGCGCCCTCGTGCTCTCCACGCCCGTCGCCGCCGTGTGTGGCATCGCGCGCGCAGCAAGGGACGGCGTGCTGGTGAAGGGCGGCGCGCACCTGGAGATGCTGGGGCGCGTGCGCGCGGTGGGTGTGGACAAGACGGGCACACTCACGCACGGCCGCTTCCGCGTGGTGGGGTTTGAGCTCGTGGACGGCGCTGCCTGCTCCAAGCACCAGTGCCTCGAGTGGTGAGCGGCTTGCTGCGGGCGAGAATCACGGACTCTCTTGAACGACTGGTTGTGTTCCTTCTTGTTGCGTCTCCAGCTGCTATCATCCCACTCGATGCTCTGCCCTCGTATCGCCTCGCCCTTCCCATCTCTCTTTCCTTTTTGATGTGCCTGCTTGTGGTCCCACTGTCTGCTTGCCATCCACCGTGCTTCTCTCCGCGGGTGCAGGCTGGCCGGTGCGGAGAGGCAGTCCAGCCATCCCATGGCGGCCGCGCTGCTGGCCTACTGCCGCCAGCACGGTGTAGAGTCCAACGCGCCGCTCCCAGCTGCACCCGCTGCTGCATGCAGCCCTGCAGCAGCAGGCAGCACACACGCCCCTTCCACATGCTCCCGTGGCAGTGCAGGCGACTTGGGTTGTGGGAGCAGTAGTAAGGTGTGTGGGAGTGGAAGCAAGGCGTGTGGGAGCAGCAGTAAGATGTGTGGGAAGGGTCATGAGACATGTGGTGCACGTTCTACTGCTGATGGAGCATGCAGCAAGCTACACGGCACGTGCAATGCGGCTGCTGATGCATGTGGCATGCTGGATGGCGCATGTGAAGGCGATGCAGGGACATGTGTAGGCAGTAGGTCACATGGCATGGTTGCAGCCCGCAAAGGGTGCTGTAAGGTGTCCCATTGCCAAGACAGGCAACAAGGCACTGCTGCAGAAACCGAGGCAATCTGCAATGAGGATGCGGCTGAAGAGGGGGTTAGACAGGCAGCAGGAGGGACAGAGGGTGGCAGGGAGGGAGGTGGGGCGAGTGGGTTTGAGACGGTGGCGGGGGAGGGCGTGGAGGCGGTGGTGGGGGGCAGGCGAGTGCACGTGGGCAACGAGAGGATGGCGCTGCGCCTCGGGTGGACGCATGGTGAGACACGCTCTTCCCAGCCACCCATTCGCCCTCCCCCTCTTAAGGAACGGCACCCATCCATTGGGCCACGTTGCTCTGATCTCATCTCACCACGTGTGCCATGGAAATGCCTCTTCGCCTCCCTTCTGTTTGTCGTTCCCCACCACCCACCCTTCCCTTGCCTCCTGCTGCTCGACCAAGGAGCCATTGCAGCACACCTGACTCAACGGTATCACACCTCCCTCCCTCTCTCAATCCCCACCCCTAATCCAGCCTGCCCCACCCATCCATTTGCTGCCTTGCCACTCTCGCTCTGCTTCAATCTCGGAGCCACTGACCTGACCTGCCGACCTCTCCCTCCCGCTGACCTGCTGCCACGTGGACGGCCATCTCAATGGGTTCACCACCGTTGTTCCTCTCCCACCCGCCCGCATGCCACCAGCCATGCCCGCCGCGCTGCTGGCCCACTGGCTCAGCCTCGGAGCCACGGTGCTGTGGCTCGGCGTGGACGGCCACCCCAAGGCACTGATCGCCGCGGCTGACTCGCTTCGGGCCGAAGCTGCGGAGGCGGTTGGGCAGCTGGTGAGGGGACTGGGGCTGCACGTGGCCATGCTGACCGGCGACAATGCGGGCGCTGCCACTGCAGTGCAGCAGCAGGTGCGAAAGAGGGGGATGTTAGGGTTGAGGGGAGAATAGGGGGGGGAAGTGGGAATAGGGGAGGTGGGTGTTTGAGGCGGTTGTGGGGGTGTGGGGGGGGAGGAAGAGAGGGGAATGGAAAGGAGAAGAGGCACATTAGAGCAGTAGACACAAGGGTATGGCTGAGCTGGGAACCGTATATGTAGACTAAGATGTATTGTTGTGACGCGCTGACTGGAGGAATAAATGACCATGGAGTCCTTAGGAAGTGATTCTCCACATGTTCCTGACATGTAGCAACGACATATGACCCTTCCTCCAATATTTGTGTTCCCATTTTTTACCCTTTCTCCAACCTCCCTCCTTTCCGTCCTCCCCTCCACTTGCTGCTCTTCTTCCCTCCCCCCCTCCCTCTCCTCTCATCCACTTCATCTCACCCTCTCCATGTCCCCTCTCTCCCGTGCGCCCACCCGTCCGTGTCATCAGTTGCACCCAGCAGTGGAGGCACTGTGTGAGCTGCTACCGGAGGGCAAGGTGGCGGCCATAGCGGCGCTCAAGGCGGAGCACGGCGTCACCTGCATGGTGGGGGACGGCATCAACGACGCTCCCGCCCTCGCCGCCGCTGATGTCAGCATCGCCATGGGCACCATTGCGTCTGCGTCAGCCATGGAGGCCGCTGACGTGGCGCTGATGTCAGACGACCTGCGCCAGCTGGCACGGACGTTTTTGCTGGGGCGGGCAGTGCGGTGGGTGGTGGTGGAGAACGTGGTGGCGTCGGTGGTGGTGAAGGCCGTGGTGCTGGGGCTGGCCGTGGCTGGCAGGGCGCACCTCTGGCTGGCTGTGCTGGCCGATGTGGGCACGAGCCTGGCAGTGGTGGGGAACTCTCTCAGGCTGCTCAGGAAAGGCACGGTGGGTGGGTGCTGGTGGGGAGGGTACTGACCATGGGGTTTCCAAGTATAAGCCTATCGTGTACATTGAACATGGCCCGGCCACAGATTTTGCTGTATTTTTCTAGTTGGTCTTTCTTCTCCCAGCTGCTGTGAGGAATGCTAGAATACGCTTCAGTTATTTATGTCCTGAAGTGGAGGAAGCAATGTGGAAACACAGTCCCCTAAACAAAATATACCGTTATCAACCACGTCAAACAAACCAGGAACAGAACAATAGTGAGGGCACTCTACATTTCCGCGACCGAGGCTTTGCAAGTTCGTATGTTTACGGGTTTTACAAGGGTTGGGGAAGTTCTGGATAGTAATAGCACGGTTTCAATGCGGTTGCGGACCGTTAACCCACGATCGATGCCGCGTGCTCGCGTCCGTAGGGCGACGTCAGGTTGTACATTTCTTGCGGATGTTCAATTCTTGTATCGTGGCTCAAAACGTTTCCACACGGTGGGAAGCTTTTCTCCGGCGTTGTTATGTTGGCGTTTTTTGGCAAGAAATCGGGTCCGCAGAATCTTCGTTGATAAGGTCTTTTCTGCTTATCCAGGTTCGGTGATAAGGGAGTTCTTGCCAAACCTGTTTGCGCCAATTTTGACGCTTCTGCCTGCAGAACACCACTTTTGGAGCGCACAAGTTCAACTTTCAGCTGGTTCGCGGATGTTGCTTCGACAGGCAAAAGGTCGCACCATTCGTGCGGTGCTGATTCTACCTCGAGAGCTAGCATCAGCCCCCGCACAAGTTATGCGGGGCAGTACCAGCCCCCCAAATGTGAACATTCGCCAAGATTCGAAGGTGCGGCTGGGATGGTGCTGGACTTCTAAGCAACATCCGCGCAGCCACATATAGTTGGATGCGCCATGAAACCACGCGGAATGTTGTGCCCGCACAAATAATGCGGAACCGATAACGCCTGCAGTACAGCGCCTCTAGGTTAACCGTGTTGCTTTGTCACGAAACGAAGTTGAGCATAGGGAAGCTGTACAACCTGACGTCGCCCTTATCCTTACGCACAGATCACACGGTGACAGTCTATCATAGTAGAAATTTCGCCATCCAGGCGATCAATATCGACAGTCCGCATGGCGGCGACACGGGACGTGGTGATGCGCCCGTCAGGGCCGAAGGGAATTGACTCGAGGCTGCATCGGGTGGAGAGCGTGGTGCAGCTCATGGGCGCGCGCCTCAACGAGCTCAGCGCGCAGCTGCGGGAGCAAGCCAACGAGACGAGCGCGCTGCGACGAGAGATTTGCGATCTTAGACGGGATGCGGCGCGGGGAGAGCAGACGAGGATCGAACTAATCGCAACGGAGAGGAACGCCGGAGGAGGAGGGTTAGAGGTCAGCCCTGACGAATCAAACGAGGCAGCGATGCAGCGACGGCAGAGGGGGACGAGCGCTGAGGCCGCGCTGGCGCTGTCGGATGCGACGAGGCACGGGTCTGCATCCCAAAAATGTGCAGGTTCAGCACCTGCGTTTAGCCTACTTCAACGCAACATTTCCGCAGGTTCAAAAACACCTACGTCTTGGCTCCTGAAAGAGCTACGAAACGTAAGTTGAGTTGATGATTCGGTTCCGAACCTCAACCTGCGTCGTGGTTGCGGGGCCGTAGGTTTCAATGTTTTGCGTGCGACGTTCATTGGTTTAGTAGGGGATGTTGATTGGCTGGCGAGGGTTTTTCCGAAGGATTCAATTTGCTCTGCACACCGAGGCGAAATCGCAGGCGTGGATATTCAGGACCTGATTGAATGGATGCATCTATGCGAAACCTTTGGTTACGTGACAGGTGGCGTGATGACGATTCGTAATTGGGTGAAAGAAAATCAGTGTCAGAGAAATTTTCGACACATGTCAGGGTCTACCAGCTCCACGCTGGAAGTGTTGCCGGGCCCGTTGTGCAACCTGTGGGCTTCTGGTTGGGGTTCCAATTTTTTAGGAAGACACTCTGGCACTTTCTCCGTTTGACACCCCGCTAATGATGTTTTGTGCTTGTGATATTATTGGTCAGGAAACTCTGACGTGCTAAAGACCTCTTCGACATGCTGACGACATCATATTGGTCGGATTTTGTACTCCTTGTACGCACTTCGATAAATGAATTGAAACGTGTCTGTTACAGACATTTGGAAATACAATTAATATGCATATATTCAAATTTGTTTTTTTATAATTTAGAGCTGAATTTACTTTTTGGGGAATAGCATATATAGTGCTTATTTATTATTATAAATTAGCGTTATTCTAATTAGCAACAATCACTGTTACCCGACAATGCACTACCTAGCATTCTACCAACTAGACACTACACATCCAGCAAGGTACTTGCTAATTATTGCTAATACTAAGGATTGAGGTCTTCTATGCCATCGCAACTAATGAAAAGGCAGTCGGTACTCTCGTGGAACCTCCACGCCTTCATATTCACCACCCACCACTGCCCTGTTGTGTCGCGATTTGGGCTCTGGATTACGTCACGCACGACGTTGCGAACATTTGAGGCATACCGTGCAAATTACCCCCGAAGGTCCACCCTGCTCTGCTTAAGGTCTTCACCAGTTTTAATTTTGTGTTCCACCTGCATATTCACGAGAACAATACGTTTTTTAGCAGAATGTTTACTACCCCAAGGAGCCAAAATGCAATGTGCTTCAAGCGCAGCACCACTGCCGCATGCCCGTCCCTCTCGTAAGAAAGAAAGATGGCGCTTGTGAAGATGTCATGCGACAGTAACACGCCACGATTCCCCCTGTGCCATGTCAAGAGGGTCCACGACCCTTCATCTGAAACGCATTGGAATCATGACGGTGGAGAAAGGTAGCCATTCTTACGGACTTGCAGGTATGAGGGGCGAGACAGAGGCGAAGAGAGGGTAGGGCAGGGGAGGTTGTGCTGGATGAGGCATAGTGTTAGGGGAGTGCCCCGCCTGTCACACCGACAGTGCCCCGTGCGTAGGCTGAGGTGGTAGTGAAGGTTGGAGGGAGGCAGAAAGGGTGAATGGGGGGAGAGAACAGGGGGGGGGGGGGGGGGGGGGGGGGGGTGTCAATTTGAGGCGGTGGTTTCCTCGCAGGCCAGTCCGTGAAGTCCCCGCCTCTCACACCGACGCGGCCCGTGCGTAGGCTGCGGTGGAAGGCATGCAACGAGAGAGGCAGAGAGGGAGAAGGCAAGGGGGAGAGTGAGGCTGAGTCAATGGGAGGCGGTGGTTTCCTCGCAGGCCAGTCCGTGAAGTCCCCGCCTCTCACACCGACGTGGCCCGTGCGTAGGCTGCGGTGGAAGGCATGCAACGAGAGAGGCAGAGAGGGAGAAGGCAAGGGGGAGAGTGAGGCTGAGTCAATGGGAGGCGGTGGTTTCCTCGCAGGCCAGTCCGTGAGGTCCCCGCCTCTCACACCGACGTGGCCCATGCGTAGGCTGCGGTGGAAGGCATGCAACGAGAGAGGCAGAGAGGGAGAAGGCGGGGGAGAGTGAGGCTGAGTCAATGGGAGGCGGTGGTTTCCTCGCAGGCCCTCCCGTGAAGTCCCCGCCTCTCACACCGACGCGGCCCGTGCGTAGGCTGCGGTGGAAGGCATGCAACGAGAGAGGCAGAGAGGGAGAAGGCAAGGGGGAGAGTGAGGCTGAGTCAATGGGAGGCGGTGGTTTCCTCGCAGGCCCTCCCGTGAAGTCCCCGCCTCTCACACCGACGCGGCCCGTGCGTAGGCTGCGGTGGAAGGCATGCAACGAGAGAGGCAGAGAGGGAGAAGGCGGGGGGGAGAGAGTGTGAGACAATGTGAGGAGGTGATATGCGCGCAGACCAGCCCGTGAAGGCCCTGCCCCTCACACCTATGCGGCCCGTCCGTAGGCCTTGGTGTTACACATGCAACGAGACAGGCAGAGTGGGAGAAAGCAAGGGATAGGTAGTAGGGGTTAATGTGAGGCGGTGATTTGCGCGCAGACCAGCCCGTGAAGTCACCCCCTCTGACACCTACGCGGCCCGTCCATAGCCTGCGGTGGTAGTCAAGTTTAGTGGCATGGAGCTTACCAGCCTTGTATTTGTCGGTGAAGGCTTCTGTGTCCTCGTGTCCCGCCACCTCCCTGTGTAGATTAGGCCGCTGAATCTGAATGTCGAAATACTAAAAAATGATGCATCTTCCAATTGTGAGGATTTTATTGCGCTTGTCCTGAAATTTCTTGGTGAAGTGCGAGGGACGGTCGCTCTCATTCTCCATCACGAGGGCAAGATTCTCAATCTGCGCCGGGTCGGTGTAGCGTAAAGCCTTAGCCAGAGCGTTGATGGCCACGGAGCGCGGGATCCAGAACTGCAGATGCGCGTTCGGCGTCTCGTAGACGATTATGTCTACGGCTTTAGTTGCGGCAGCCTGCACGTTAGTGGGGGTTGGTGTGGGAGGTGTTGAGTGGGCAGGGAAGGAGGTGGGGCGTTGTGTGGCACATGGGAGGGGGGAGAAGTAACGGTTATAGGCTATCGGAGAGGACGAGTAAAACGAGGGAGGGGGGCTGCATGTGGCTGGATATGAATTGCAGGCTGAAATACACATGGAAGCACAACCATCCTGCACTTACATAGAAGCCGTTGTGCTTCCCTGGTACAGCTGCCAATGCTGCCGCATACTGGTGCGCCCAGGTGCGTTGCATACGTGTAAGGTGTCGCAGGTCCAGAATTGCCTGGCTCTTGTAAGCCGCGTTAACCGCATCGATGATCGCTGGGCGGTTCGGCTCCACCCTGATCGTTGGGCACGCCATGTTTAATGCTGCATCGGGAATGTCGTCTGCTGCAGCCACCCCTCCAGAAACACCTCCCGAACCGTGCTCTGTGTGTACAGCAGCTGTGTGTTCTCCTCCATTTGTGTCAGGAAGGTTGTTAGGCGTAGCATGGGCCGGCTGGCCGCCGCCCGTGACGTTGGCCTGCTGAGCGTCGCCGCTGCCATTGGCCTGCTGCGAGGCGGCTATCTGACGCTCCAGCCGACGCACGGCATTCTGCGCCTGCAGTAGTTGTCGTTCCACCTCGCGGGTTCGTGCGGCCTGCTCCTCGAACGCAGCACGGTCTACAGAGTTTGCAGCTGTTGCGGTACGGTCAGTGCTTCCCCCACCAAGTAACTCATCAGAATATGCCGGTTCGGGAATCAGAGGCTCCACCTCTGGCTGTGCCTCCAGGTCATCAGGTTGGGCATAGTTGGTGTAGCCATCATCATCCTCATAGAATGTAGCACCCACTGCGGGCTGGAAGGCAGCTGCAGCAGTCGCGGGCTGGAAGGCAGCTGGATCAGGGGCGGGTTGGAAGGAAGTGGCTGCCGCAGGCTGGAAGGAAGTGGCTGCCGCAGGCTGGAAGGAAGTGGCTGCCGCAGGCTGGAAGGAAGTGGCTGCCGCAGGCTGGAAGGAAGTGGCTGCCGCAGGCTGGAAGGAAGTGGCTGCCGCAGGCTGGAAGGAAGTGGCTGCCGCAGGCTGGAAGGAAGTGGCTGCCGCAGGCTGGAATGAAGTGGCTGCCGCAGGCTGGAAGGCATGCGTTTCCGCGTAGTGGACTGCAGCTGGAGCACTTGCGGGCTGAAAAGCATCTGGAGCCGCAGGCAGGGACCCAATCACCGGTGCGGAAGGGATGGCTGAAGTCTGCGCAGGCGGGAAAGCACCCGACGGCGTAGGCTGTGGAGCAGCTGCCGCATCAGGCTGCGCCGTCAACGCATTGTGATGCAGCAACGCAGGGGCAGCAGATGTGTGGCCGGGCTGAAACGCAGTAGCCCCCGCGGCCTGCGCAGTTGAAGGCGCGGGCTGTGATGCAGTACCCGCCGCGGCCCGCGCAGCTGAAGGCGCGGGCTGGGATGCAGTCGCCCGCGCGGCGGGCGCAGCTGATGGCGCGGGATGAGAGGCAATCGCCCGCGCGGCTGGCGCAGCTGATGGCGCGGGCTGTGAAGGAATTGCGGCCGGGTCCTGGAACGGGGCTGCTGGCGCAAGCAGGGAAGCTCCGGATGCAACTTGGGAAGCATCTGCTGCGTCGTTGCCGCCCTCCTCATTGCTGGGACGTCCTGCCTGGTGCAAGGCCGCCAGAAATTGCTGCGCGCGTCCGTACGCAGTGGATGCGCTCATTCGTGCAGTTGCACCGCCCCTGCCCGGATTTCTCGCGATTGATGCCGCCGCACGTGCCTCAGCAGACTCGGGTGCAGTCAGCGACAAGTCGTTGAGAGAGCCGCGCCTCGTGCCTGCACAATAAACCGGTAACACGTCAGTTGCCAGGTAATGTAGACCTAACTATACTGCCGGCAAACCGTCAATGATACGACACGCTCAAAAGTCGTGAAATAGAGGATGGACACGATTGCGACGGCGGCATTAGCGTACCGGGTGCCACGTCGCCCCGAGGGCCGCCAAGAATGACGGCGCTCTGCTGGTTCCGTGCAGCAGCAGCTGCTTGCACAACTGCAGCGTACTTGTTACGTGTTCCAATAGACGGTGGTCGCGTAGGACGTGAGGGACGCTTCTTCGTTACTGCAGAGATCGTTTCCATTGGCTAAGTCGGTGGAAACCGTCACTGAGATTGGGCCACTACTGCGCCCCATTTGCGCTCCCCAGTACTTATACATGGCAATGTGTGCACTCAACACGTCTACCAACACTGTGTGAAGTGCTCCCTTGGATGAATCGCGAAGCCACGACACATTGGGGATCTCTAAGGTCCCCCTAACTCAAACATTCAAATTTCTAAACTCCGAGACCCTGTCGAGGGACTACCTCCCTTTCGTACAGGCACTGCCGTGCTGGAGATCTTTCAGGAGCCTGGTGGTTGGTCATACACTGCCTGTTGGCCTAGGGTTTGGTCTGCAGCGGTCCGTGCAGTGTCGACCTGGTTGGATTACAACGAGGGCTGTAAATCTGCAGTCGTTACAATCCCTAGTCGGTCGCGAGATTTTAAGGGATGCAGGGCGATACATACCGGGAGAGTATGGTTTAGGGTTCCCTCGCACAATTCCGACAATAGGTAGTGGCGCTGCCCCAGCTGGTGTTTGTATCGGAACACTACGGTGTGAAATGTATTACTAACAGTGAGGACCAAGTTTACACATTACAGATAAAGATAATCGACATACTGTGCTGACATCCGCGTGCTCATCAAGCTCAAGGCGGTATGCAATTTTGTTGAGGTTTGGGATTCGTAAACCCCTCCAATACGCATTTGTCCTTGGCAGCCTGAGAAAACATCATTAGTGTCGGTCAACTAACGAGGGTAACGGACTAAAGCTGGTGGACAAATGCACGAGTTTCAGGAAGTGGCATGTACAGTCTTGGGATCATTTGTTAGGTTGGGTTTATAAAACCGCTGGCAGGATCCTTCAGAGTTTAGACTCTGTGTTGTGATGCAGCGAACAACTTGAAGACCACATTCCAATCCATTTTGATGAACCAAGGTTCATTCTAACACATTTAATGAAGATGGCCTAGACGCCCGCAGGTAAGTATGTCATGGTTCACGATGGTGGATTAGAAGAGAGAAAGAGCACGTGGACAGAAAGACCAGCACAATGATCCCTGAGATCTGTCACTGACATGACAACCCAGGGAATGTTGTTTTCCATGTGGGAAGCGAAGGCGTCGCCCTGCTGACCTGCATTGCTGCCGTTGGCCTGCTGTAAGGCGGCTATCTGACGTTGCATCCAACGCATGTCACTCTGCGCCTGCATCAACTGCCGTGCCAGATCTCGGGTTCGTGCGGCCTGTTCCTGGAACGCAGCTCGGTCTTCAGAGTTCGCAGCTGTTGCTGTAGCAGGCCCGGGCTGGAAGCCAGCTGTATCAGGCGCTGCCTGGAAGGTAGAGGCCGCCGCTGGCTGGAAGGCAGTGGCTGCCGCTGGCTGGAAGGCGGCTGCTGACACTGCCTGGGCTGCTGCCGCTGGCTGAAAGGCTTCTGCCTGAGCTTGCTGGGCTGCTGCTGCTGGCTGGAAGGCTTCTGCCTGAGCTTGCTGGGCTGCTGCCGCTGGCTGAAAGGCTTCTGCCTGAGCTTGCTGGGCTGCTGCCGCTGGCTGGAAGGCTTCTGCCTGAGCTTGCTGGGCTGCTGTCGCTGGCTGGAAGGCTTCTGCAGGAGCTTGCTGGGCTGCTGCCGCTGGCTGGAAGGCTTCTGCCTGAGCTTGCTGGGCTGCTGCCGCTGGCTGAAAGGCTTCTGCCTGAGCTTGCTGGGCTGCTGTCGCTGGCTGGAAGGCTTCTGCCTGAGCTTGCTGGGCTGCTGCCGCTGGCTGGAAGGCTTCTGCCTGAGCTTGCTGGGCTGCTGCCGCTGGCTGGAAGGCTTCTGCCTGAGCTTGCTGGGCTGCTGCCGCTGGCTGGAAGGCTTCTGCAGGAGCTTGCTGGGCTGCTGCCGCTGGCTGGAAGGCTTCTGCCTGAGCTTGCTGGGCTGCTGCCGCTGGCTGGAAGGCTTCTGCAGGAGCTTGATGGGCTGCTGCCGCTGGCTGGAAGGCTTCTGCCTGAGCTTGCTGGGCTGCTGCCGCTGGCTGAAAGGCTTCTGCCTGAGCTTGCTGGGCTGCTGCCGCTGGCTGGAAGGCTTCTGCCTGAGCTTGCTGGGCTGCTGCCGCTGGCTGGAAGGCTGCTGCCTGAGCTTGCTGGGCTGCTGCCGCTGGCTGGAAGGCTTCTGCAAGAGCTTGCTGGGCTGCTGCCGCTGGTTGAAAGGCTTCTGCCTGAGCTTGCTGGGCTGCTGCCGCTGGCTGGAAGGCTTCTGCAGGAGCTTGCTGGGCTGCTGCCGCTGGCTGGAAGGCTTCTGCCTGAGCTTGCTGGGCTGCTGCCGCTGGCTGGAAGGCGGCAGATGCCTCTGGCTTTAAGGCAGAGGTACTATCAGCTGTGTGGAATGCAGCTGGGGCACTCGTGGGCTGGAAGGCAGCTGGATCGCAAACCGAGAACGCATGGCTTCGCTGCACCGCAGCTGCACCAGAGGAGCGATCTGGAAGAGCAGCGGTAGCCGCCGCGGCGTGTGCAGCAGACTGCGCGGGATGGTCTGCAGTCGCCGCCGCGGCCTGCGCAGCTGAAGGCGCGGGCTGTGAATCAGTTGCGTCCGGGAACGGAGCTCCTGGCGCGCGCAAGGAAGGTCCGGATGCAACTTGGGGAGCATCTGCAGCGCCGTTGTCGCCCTCCTCATTGCTGCTACGACCTGCCTTGAGCTTGGCCGACATAAATCGATGCGCGTGTCCGTACGCAGTGGACGCGCTCCAACGTGCAGTTGTACTACCCCTCCCCGGATTTCTACCACGCATTGCAGCCGACCGAGCCTCAGAAGACTCGGGTGCAGTCAGCGAAAGGTCGTTGAGACAGCCGCGCCTCGTGCCTGCACAAGAAACGGGTCGATAATGGCAAGACAACGCATTAGGACACTATGTTTGTGTAACCCGCACTGACATGACACATACATCCCACGTAAAAAATACTACTAAAAATAATGCACAAGCAGCGTCTGCCTACCCGGTTCAACGTCGCTTAAAGGGCAGCCTAGGCTAACTTGAGGGTGTTGGTTCCATCCATAAGCAGCTGCTTGCACAGCTGATGCGTACGTGCTACGCGATCCAATGGACGGTGGTCGCGTGGGTCGAGTCGGCCTCTTCTTCGTCACTGCAGAAAGCGTTTCCATGGCCTACTTCAGTCGAAACCGTCGGTGAGAGCGAGCCACAACTGAGACTCATTAGTGCTCCAGAATAATTGTGCATCGCGCAAAGTGCGCGCACGACACACTTATACCCGCACCGTGTACCGCTATGCAGAGGGACGGATCGCCAGGACACACCTCGATGAGCAACTACTCTCCGAAATCCAAATTTTCAAACTACAAACCTCCCGTTGGACAGAGTCTGAAGCGCCCATGCACGCAACGTGCATGGTCTCGTGCACATATCGCACTTTGATGTTAATAGCCTGATTTAAATTAGTAGGCGGGTTATGCAATAGCGAGTTCGCATGCGGATTGGTTCCGTTCAGCCGAACCCCCTGACGATGATCTGTCAAATGCAGTGGTCCACCAACCAATGAGGGACGACCAATATATCACGAACCGAACACACCACATCCCACACATTACGTGGCCCCGACCCATCACCCTTACAGGTACCTCGCAGACTCATCGCACGTGCTGGAACTCTTCTTCCGCTGTTATTGGTCAGCGATGAGAAATTTTTAAGTAACCAAGCACCCGCAGTATCGCAGAGCATTTCCACATTCACATGATGCATCTCTCCCGTGCATTTCCAGATTCACTCGATCCATCTCTCCCGTGCTTCCATTACTAGTAGGCCAGTGGATTAGGCTGCATGGCGATGACTAAGCGGGACCGCTATTACCCCGGCAGACCCCAAGCATATTTTCTCATCCTAAGTCACAGGAAGGCATAGAAGAAATCGTGTTGCACTGTAAGGTCGACGTAGGTAGAATGAGTCCTCAACCTGACACATCAACCTACGTTGAGGATCAGGCCACCCTTAACTCGTATTTCTATCCCATGACGTGGGAAACGTGCAGCCACTGAAGCAGAGCAGCGTATCTCGCCCGTTGTCTCGCACACGCCGACGGTTATCTATGGCACGAGGAAGGCTACAGGAAACTCCCATCGGGAGCATGGAGGTGAGCCTTTAGTACCCACGATTACTAATAATCCCTGCATGTTGATACGCCTCGGTGTGCACTCTACTGACAAGCACGTGATTGCGATCTCTGTTGCCCACAGATTCTGGTACCGCTGTCTTTGGTCGTTCTGCCACGGAAAGAAGCATGTTGACATTCTATTGAATACCAAGCCCAAGGCCCTCAGCTATACGGTTGTACCCATTGCCTCTCATACCATGGTTGATGGCGGGCCTAGTGAGTTCTGTAGGGTGTGTCGCACCAAGCACAGCGAGGACTAATGTTCGTTCTTGTTGGATTCATCGTTGAACTATCCTGCACAACCCACATGGTATCTTTTGCCTAGCCGCTGTTTTGAAGATCCTAATACTGCTAATCTTGCAGTAAATTGGTGGCGGTTGAAGAGTTCTATAACACACGTTCGTTACAATGAAGCAAACCCATAAGGGAAGGCAGCCGCCACACAGTGTTAAAATGGATGGAGTACATGTTGGTAGGGAGGGAGAGAGACGGAGGAGAGAGAGAGAGAGAGAGAGAGAGAGAGAGAGAGAGAGAGAGAGAGAGAGAGAGAGAGAGAGAGAGAGAGAGAGAGAGAGAGAGAGAGAGAGAGAGAGAGAGAGAGAGAGAGAGAGCGTTTACACCAGCAGATGTCACGTACTTGACCTTCCGTGTGTTCGTCATCTCATGCCGCGATGGCGCAGTTTCGGGTGAACACGTTCACACGCACTGACAAAAGCGCGTGCGACCCCGTGACGGGTCGGAGGAGTAGTTACCGGTGGCACGTGAGGTGCAATCACCCGTCATTCAATCTATCCGTGGGTTGTCACTTCGGATAGACACGTGCCTAGGGCCGCACTTGACTGGCCACGTCAACCACGCGCTATTGCGTCTATCGAGCGTCGCTCGGATCGTCTGCGGAGCATCCCGTCGACCTGCAGCTCGACCGGGAGGCGTGCGGAGCATCCAGTCGAGCTGCAGCTCGACCGGGAGGCTTGCGGAGCATCCCGTCGACCTGCAGCTCGACCGGGAGGTCCGCGAAGCATCCCGTCGACCTGCATCTCAACCGAGAGGTCGACGGAGCAGTTATGGTCGACGGAAGGGGTCCGTCGACCAGGGGGTAGCTCGACGGGAGTTGTGGTCGACCAGAGGCACCTGGTGGTCGACCAGAGGCACCTGGTGGTCGACCAGAAGTAGTGGTGGTCGACCGGAAGCACCTGGTGGTCGACCGGGTCGACCGGGTAAGCTGCTCGACGAGTTCTGCGGAGGCACGCGAACGTCGTCTAGGTAGCGATGGCGCAGGCGACTTGGGGCCAGTATCCCGAAGTCGATGTGGCTTGTCAGGCGCAGACAACAGCCGACGGATGCCCAACGATGCAGGTCCGGCCAATCGTCTGCGCGCATATGTGAGCGTGCGCACTGCTGTGTTCTACGGGGCAACGCTGGACAGCCGCTCTGCTGCAGCGTTGGCACGCCGTCGACCTGCTCTGTTGGCACGTCGCCTTTCCGCAGTGCTGGCGCGGCTCCTCTACGCAACGCTGGCAGGCGGTCGACCAAGCTGTGCTGGCGGTCGACCAGGCTAGCTGCAGGGTTGCTAGGTGCCTGATGTAGTCATTGTTGTCATTGCTTGTTGTATCATTCTGGAATTCTAACTTTGCTAGTGGAAACTCTTGCCAATTTCTCACGTGGATGTGCAAGCGCTAAGGAACCAAGCAAAGCTACGATCACTCCTAGTAGTTCGTGCCAACCCCCGTAGTCTAGCTCACTACCGTTGTAGAGTGAATCTCCGCACTACCAGCACAATCGTGCCATCGCAAACCCGCACGCCGTGGACGGCGGACGTGCGACACATGTTAACATGCTTCGTGGTTTCGCGCTCACGCAGGGTTCCACAGCATGCACGTGCAGAGATTCACTCTACAACGGTGGTGTGCTAGACTGCGGGGGTTGGCACAAACTACTAGGAGTGATCGTTCGTAGTTTGCATGTGTTCCTTAGCACATGCACATTCACAGGAGAAATTTGCCAGAGTTGTCACTAAAAAAGCTGAAATTACAGAATGAATGAACAAGCAACCATTCAACATGACTACATCAGGCACCTCGCAACTTTGCAGCTAGCCTGGTCGACCGCCAGCACTGCATGGTCGGCGGCCAGCACTGCAAAAGAGCAATCTGCCAACACTGAAGGTTGACGGCGTGCCAACGTTGCAGCTGTGCGGCTGTCCAGTGTTGCCCCGTAAAAGACAGCGATGCGCACGTTTGCAGGTGTGCGCAGACGATTGGCCCTTCTTGCCTCGTTGGGCATGATCGTCAGCTGTTGTCTGCGCCTGACGAGCCACATCGACTTCGGGATACCAGCCCGCAGTCGCCTTCGCCATCGCGACCTCGACGACGTTCGCGTGCCTCCGCAGAACTGGCCAAGCAGGTTACCTGGTCCACATGTGAACGGTTGGCTGCTACTCCCGTACATTCGACCAAGTCGTCGGTGTTGCCCAAGCGAGGGCGGGGGTAACACGGCTATTCCCGTTAACATCACGTCCACACCAACGTTCTTGGGGGACTAGTTTGTGGTATCTTATTGTTTAATGTTTTGAATCTTTCACGTGTTTAGTGTATGAGCCGTATTACAACTGTGGCATCATCAAGCATGTAATGCAATAACCACACCCCCCCCCCCCGTGGCGTCCACCTTCCCCTAGGCAGTGCACTCTTGCATACTGATGCGTCCGCCAGTTGCAGAGACAGCCACCATGACCACCGCCACGCTCGACTGCGAAACCTTCAAGGGATAGGACACATACGCAACGAACAAGCTTGAAGGCCATTTCCGCGCCTGAATCCAGCAGGACAGCATGGATTGCGCGCGAACGACTGTATCAGACCGCGACAGCTGCACAGACGCGCAATCTCCTCCACACGATACATGTCACTCAGCCCGCAACTAACGCCACCAACGAGTTGCATAATTACTCGCACAGAGCTCGACACAAGAATGTACCCTTGGTCAGCGTGGTTTTCAATCGAGGCGATTCACAACGTAGGATGCCAACATAACGCTCTTATCTATTCGGTCTCCTGCTATTACGATCAGATGCTACTCGACCCTAGGCTCATGTCGGGCAGGCCCACACACAGCTGCGAAACTGTTACTGCCAATCTCCTCGCTCCTCCAGCTGCCCGAAGCTGCCTGCTCCGACGGTCCATATTCCACCCTAACTATCAGTGTCAATCTGAGTCAATTCCGTCTATTCGTGTTCAACCTCGATACTGCATGTTTCACCTGATGCGTGTAGGAGTGCACGATCATAATAAAGAGATTTACTCAACAACGACGTGCACTGTCGCATACATTGTGCTGGTTGTCAGCCACATGCAGACGGTTGCACATGATGAGCCACGTCGACCACGTGCTGCCACGTCGGTCGACTTCGCCACAATAGCATCGACAACGTTCGCGCACCTTCGCAGAACCACGTCGAGCAGGGACCTGTGTCAACCAAGTAAAGTCCATTGCAATCCTGCAGTATGATTACCTTTGTCATCACCGGTTAACCACATTTGTCGGCCTGGGTCGACGACCGTCGTCATCGCAGGTCGACGACCTACGTCGCCCACCTCGGTTGATATACTCAAATGTGCCGGGTCAG